GCGCGCTTATCTTGCTTGTCAGAAACACCAGCAAAGGAGAAGCACGTTGACACTAATTATCTCTGTTAAAGCTTTAAGCCAAAGAGCCTAAAAGGCTATGGATTTGAAATGCTTGTGTCTTTTCTTCTGTCACATTGATTTCTAGATTCCATTGCCTCAGGATCCAATTAAAACAGCATGGATTAGCCACCCCTGCATCTCAGTGGACTGGCTGGTGAGACAGGCTAGTCAAGGACTGGCTGGTCAAGAAGCCAACATTCTTGGACCACCCAGTCCTGCGAGGCCTCAGGAGTCCCTGCCCGACCAAGAGCAGGGCTGGGGTCCACAAGGGCTGCTCACTGCTCCTCCCTGTTGGTCAGGTTTGCATATGAGCTCAGGAGGTAGGCCCTGAGCCCTCAGGCTCCCTGCAGTTTGCCCATCTGTGAAAGGGCCTTGTGAAATCAGCAATTTACTTCCAGGCCCAGAGGCCAGAGCGCCCCAGCCCAGCAATAAAAACTTTTACTGTCATTTTTAACTACTCCCCGGTCTCACTGCCAACTCTGGAAGTACTGTTGTCAGGAGAAAGCAGAAAGTCACACCCTGAATCTATACTGGATCTTGGGGAAGAAGGGGGATGGGGTCCTGAGGGAGGGGGAGCTGAAATCTTGGTTCAGCCTTTGCTTTGGGAAGTAGTTTTGCCTGACTGGGCCTTGAGTTCATCTATCTTTGCAAATATTGGGCTTGGTGGGATGCTCTCTGCATGTCCTTTCAGCTCCTGAGTCTACCAGTGCATGGAATTGTCCCTAAGGAGCTGGGAGCATCCATAAGAGCAAATTGTTCCCTGTCTTCCAGAGGGCATGGAGCACAGCCCGACTGTGCAACATCCCTTCATTCTGCCTAATATTGACCTAAAGAGAAGAGCTCCGTAGTGCTTGCAAAGAACGCAGAGTTTAAGATCAGAAGATCTGCCGAGACCGGTTTGGCTCAGTGGATGGAGCGTCGGCTTGGGGACTGAAGGGACCCAGGTTCGATTCCGGTCAAGGGCATGTACCTTGGTTGCGGGCATATCCCCGGTAGGGGGTGTGCAAGAGGCAGCTGATCGATGACTCTCTCATCGATGTTTCTAGCTCTCTATCTCTCTCCCTTCCTCTCTGTACAAAATCTATAAAATATATTTAAAAAAAAAAAAAAAGATCAGAAGATCTGAGTCTGAATCCTGGCTTTGCCACCTCACGGCTGTAGGAATTTGAGAATCCCATAAGCCTCTGTGAGCCACTTCTTGTGTGGGAAATGAGGATATACTATCACACGACTGTCGTGAGGAATTAACAAGACACACATGTGACAGCAGTCTATGAACTGAGAGTCTGTCCACATGGGAAGCATGTGGGCCAGGCAAGCACATCCCAGGGGCACTACTCACCCCGCATAATGGCCCACAAGCCCGGTGGGAACCCACGAACCACTCAGCTGTGGTCCTCCTCCCTGCAAAGGGCCACAGGAGAACCTGGGAGGGTCTCAATGGCCCATGTTCTGGTGAAGCCCCAGGGGCTATAAACTCTATGAAACTTAGGATGCAGAGTAAAGAAGCAACGAGAACCATCCCCTCAAGGACAGTTGTAACTTGAAAAAGGAGACAAGGCTACTTGGGTGTGTAACTTGCAGGCTGGAACCGGTACACTCGTTCCAGAAGGTCTCGGAGAGGGAAAGTGGCCAGGGAGATGGGACCAGTGGGTGGGATGAGCCTCCGGAAGCTTCCTGGAGAAGGAGTTCCAGAGCTGTGAGCCACTCAGGACCTGGCCTTCTCCCAGACCTCTACGCTGTTCTCCCCACTCAGCAAGCAAAGTCAGCCACCTCTTCAAACTGCTCACCCGGGAGGGCTGGAGAGAGGAGGTATGCCCAGCTCTGACATACCTCCCGGGCCCAGAGTCTAAGGGAAATAAACGATGCTACAGGCTTCCAAACTCTTCGCCTGCCCTGTGTTCATTTCTCTTTACAGAGCACCTGTTGCCATTTCCCCCTCAATTACGACTTGTGAGCATTCATGCATGGCTTTAGATACTCAAAGACTGTGATGAGCTTCTTAAGAGCTATAATTGCTCCACAGATGGAGGACTGCCTGGGCACAGTGACCATGTCTCCCTCAAGCCAGGGCTGTTAGCCAATGGGTCGCAAGAATACACTTCAACTCCTATGAATGCCTCACACCGCCCTGGGCACTGTGAGACATCTGCTTTACGGCTGTCCCCTCTAAGGACACATGTCCAGGCAGGAATCGTGTCCTCATCTGTCAGGCTGCAGAGCTCAGACATGCCGCAAGCACATTGAAAGGTTACATGTCTAAAGTCTTGCAAAACTTCAAATATCTAAGTGTAGTAATTCTACAAACGTCCATCATTTCCTCACTGACTTGCTGCAATGAGATTACCAGTTGCTGTCCCCATACATGGCCCACTGGGACTCCTGGTCCAGAGGGTAAAACGGGGAAGCGGGGTCATGTAGTCCCACTCCAGGCAAGGTTAACTCGGGCTGAGAGCCACAGGATCCGGCACTGCTCTTGGCACTGTGTTGCATCCGCTTTTCTGCAAGTTAACAAAGTAAGTGGATTAGTGAGGTTTTTCGTATATGCTCTGTAGGGTGGCAGAGGCACACAAGGAGTTACCCCCGACTCAGATCTGCCAAGGAGATCCATGCACAGCTTGGAAAGCCTTCGGTCTCTTCCCTGACGCTTAGCCTAGAGCCCAGTACACTGGGGTTGGCTACACTCATGAAAAAGCGTTGGGCTCTTCAACCTGATAGAAGGGAAAACAACACATATCTTCCTTAGAATGTATAATAAATCCTCCAAATTAGCATGGGTCATCGGAAGATTATTAGCTTTTTGAGGTCACCTGCACTGGAAGTGCCTGAACTTTGCAATTTCATAGAGAAGTAACATCCCCCTCAAAAAAAAAAATAAAAAAATAATATATATATATATATATATATATATATATATGAGACAGCCAAATTTTCATTTTGACAAGGACATGAAAGAAGCAACTAGAATTTCCTATCATCTTTAAAAGAAATGATATTTTAGCCCTAACTGATTTGGCTCAGTGGATAGAGCGTCGGCCTGTGGACTGAAGGAGGGTCCCAGGTTCGATTCTGGTCAAGGGCATGTACATTGGTTGCCAGCACATCCCCAATAGGAGGTGTGCATGAGGCAGCTGATCGATGTTTCTCTCCCATTGATGTTTCTAACTCTCTATCCCTCTCCCTTCCTCTCAGTAAAAAATCAATAAAATATATATTTTCAACAGACCCTCCCATCTCCCTCCTGGCCACCCTCTGCAGAGGGAGTCCCTGCGTTCACCAGGCTCATGCCGTCCACACTGAAATGAGTGCCACCAGTTTCTAAAGGTCACAGCCCAATCAGGATCATCTGCTTCATTAAAACTCCACCTTAATTAAGCATCAATTTATTATTGGAGCTGTCATTACCACACGCGGCTGGGTGGAACAAAGTTCAAACGTGGCATCTTGAACAATAGCAACCGAGTTCCAGTGATGAAAGAAGGGGGAGCATGCTGTTCTGCACACACAGAGGGGACAGTGCCGGCCCAGGGTCAACAAGAAATGTATTTTCCTAGAGAAGAGCTTGCCTCAAGTCCTTTGTGGGCTCTCTCCTGACCTTGGGGTCCAAGGGTAGTCCACGTTAGAGGTCCCAATGTGCTGTTAGGGGAGAAAACAATAAAAAGGACCGCATCGCCTCCGCACTTTGCATGAAACTATTTTCTCTTGACAAGCCTATGAAACAGGTGTTCCTATTCCTATCTGATGGGCAAGGTAACTGAGCTTGTTCACTCAACAGCCAACAAAATACTGACTCAGAAACTCCTGTGCAGAGGCTTTGTCAAGGTGACACAGCTAGCAAGTACCAAAGGGAGCACCTAAACCCAAACACCGAACCCCAAGTTTATTCATTCCATGGCTGTCTCTTAGGCTGAGGTCATTGTTGCCCACAAGTCCGCAGAACACCAAAGCCACAGGGACCACCTGGTGGATCTCTAGCTGGCTCCTCGGCAAGGAAAGTCAGCATTGATTATCAATTTCCACAGACACCTGCTGTCCCAGGAACAGATCAAAGTAGCCACCTGTGCTCCATTAGCTACGGCAGTAGCCACGGTGTATAACCCCAAATTGGGTGCAAGAGTTTCATTCACTCTCGCAAGCTAGTGGGTAAGTCAGAAACAGCCCAGCAGAGCACATGAGACCCTGGGGGAGAAACAATTGTTGCTGAAACCAGTTTGGCTCAGTGGATAGAGCATCGGCTTGCAGACTGAAAAGTCCCAGGTTCGATTCCGGTCAAGGGCATGTATGTTGGTTGCGCGCACATCCCCAGTAGGGGGCGTGCAAGAAGCAGCTGATCGATGTTTCTCTCTCATCGATGTTTCTAACTCTATCCCTCTCTCTTCCTCTCTGTTAAAAAAACAAAACAAAACACAATTATATATAAAATTGTCAAAGGAGAAGGCAGGCTCTCTTTAGAGTTACAAAGATTTCCTAGCAATGGGATCGGAAGCCAAACAGTGGGATTCGAAAGGTCCCACTCTTTGGACCAAGGACTGACATATCCAGGGTGATTCCCTCAGGCCAATTCAAGAGTCAGTCAGGGACACACTCCTCAGGCATGGGCCTCTGGTTACGGCACGCACCCGGGCCCAGAGGACTGGAAAACAATGTCAGTCATCCACTCCGGCTGGCCGTCCCCCTGCCCAGCCTGCCGCACAGTTGCGTCAGAAGAGGGGCCAGTCACACACGAGGCTGCCCATTTCAAGAATGCCAAAATCTTCATGAATGCTTGCAATCACAGGGGGGTGGGGCGGCAACGTGGGTCACGTAACAGGTCAAACACAGAGGGACTGGCCCCAATCCATAGATGAGTCACAGCTAGAGTATAAAACCTCAGGAGCTCCAGTGCTCTTCACACAGCCAGCATCTCCCTCTCCTCACTCACCTTCTTCTTTTGGGTAAGTGTGGGTTCCCTGGCCCTGGTCTTTCCAGCGGGTCTGCCCAGCCCCGCAGAGGCTAGAGCAGGGGATGGACAGGCAAGCTCTCTCGCTGCCTTGGGAGCTACCGGGCCTCTGGCTTCCCAACTGCATTCGTGCTTAGGGGGGGGATTCAGGCGGGAAAGAAAGGGGGCGCTGGGCTGAAGCTGTGTCTTCTGGCCAGAATGTAAATGTCACAAAGCAAGACTTGACTCTCCTATCTCTCAGGCACCCCTGTAGGGGGCCAGGCATGGTGCTGGGCACAGGGAGACACTCGGCAGAGACTGTCCCACAAGGCCTGGGACTGGGTTGCCAGGAGAGGCGGAGCCTACTCCCAAGGAGTAGAAGGGAGAATGAGTCATGGGAGAGATGGTAGGAGCCATCAGAACCCCAAAGCTTGTTTCACAGAGAGAGACATTCTGAGAGGGGAATGACTTGTGAGATCCTGAGATCCGACTTCCTATTGACTGGTCCAATCCCCTAGAGACCAAGGTTGGACTTAACAAGTGGTAAAGGCGGTGGTGGCTGATGCATCGGGTGAGAGATGGTGATCCAAAAGACCGATGGAGTCCAGGCAGGACCACGGCCGAGCCTCCCTTTTCAGATAACTGTCCCGGATCATGGCCAAGCTCAGTGGGATAGACCAAGAGCCTGAACCAAATGCTTTTGCAGAGAATATGTTACAGCAGCTTTCTGGTTTTCTGGCAAAGCCTTTGCTGTGCAGGGGATGAGTAAAATCCCCACCATAGGTGAAGGTTTGTGGTCTTCTCCTATTTGCACTCATTGAATCGGTGCTGGGACTGGAAGAAATCTGAGAGATGAAGTACTACTCCAACCTCTCACTTTACAGGAAGTGAGTGTGGGTCCTTTGGTCCAAAATCACCCAAGAGGCCAGAGGCAGAGCTGGGGAGAGAAAAAAAAAATGGGCACCACTCACTAGGCTAGCTAGGTAGAGCTTGGGAAAAAAAGAGAGCATGCAACTCTTTTCTAAAGAGCCCAGCCAAGAGCTCCCCGGGATCTGAACAAGGAGAGCATGAAGCCTGAGCAAGCCATGCTGCGCTGGGTGATGGGTTGCCATGGCTACAGCCGCCTCCTCGCCTGCATCCTCTGGACACTGGTCCATGATGGTCTCTCCTCTCCTTCCAGGGTTTCCTTCCACCTCAGAGAAGATGTCTCAGAAAAAGCAGCCCACCCCTCAGCCCCCCGTGTTCTGCGGGAAATCCTCCGGCGGAGGCGGCGGCGGTGGCGGCTGCGGCGGCGGCGGCGGCGGCTACTATAGCGGCGGCGGCGGCGGCTGCGGCGGCGGCGGCGGCAGCTCCGGCGGCTGCGGCGGCGGCGGCAGCTCCGGTGGCTGCGGCGGCGGCGGCGGCTCCGGAGGCGGCATCAAGTATTCTGGGGGCGGCGGCTCCGGCGGCGGCGGAGGCTCTGGCTGCGGTGGCGGCTATTCCGGGGGCGGCGGCTACTCCGGCGGCGGCGGCTGCAGCGGTGGTAGCGGCGGCGGCTCCGGTGGGGGCATCAAATACTCCGGCGGCGGCGGCTCCGGCGGCGGCGGCTCTAGCTGCGGCGGCGGCGGCTACTCCGGCGGCGGCGGCTGCGGCGGTGGCGGTGGAGGCAGCTCCGGTGGCTGCGGCGGCGGCGGCGGCGGCTCCGGAGGCGGCATCAAGTACTACGGGGGCGGCGGCTCCGGCGGCGGCGGCGGAGGCTCTGGCTGCGGCGGGGGCTCGTCCGGCGGCGGCGGAGGCTGCGGTGGCTACTCCGGCGGCGGCGGGGGCTACTCCGGCGGCGGCGGCTGCGGGGGCGGCTCCTCTGGTGGCGGCGGCGGCGGCCAGCAGATCTACCAGAGCTCCAGTGGCGGAGGCTACTCCGGCGGCGGCGGCTGCGGCGGAGGCGGCTCCTCCGGGGGCGGCGGCGGCGGCTGCGGGGGCGGCTCCTCCGGGGGCGGCGGCGGCCAGATCTACCAGAGCTCCAGTGGCGGAGGCTACTCCGGTGGCGGCGGCTGCGGCGGGGGCTCTTCCGGCGGCGGCGGCGGCGGCCAGATCTACCAGAGCTCCGGTGGCGGAGGCTACTCCGGCGGCGGCGGCTGCGGCGGAGGGTCCTCCGGCGGCGGCGGCGGCGGCTGCGGGGGCGGCGGCTACTCCGGTGGCGGCGGCTACTCCGGCGGCGGCGGCGGCTGCGGCGGGGGCTCCTCTGGCGGCGGCGGCGGCGGCTACTCCTCCCAGCAGTCCGCCCAGGTCTGTTGCGTGCCCCAGGAGTGCTCCGGCGGGGGGTCCTCCGGCGGCGGCGGCGGCTGCGGAGGCGGCTCCTCCGGGGGCGGCGGAGGCTGCGGCGGCGGCGGCTCCTCCGGAGGCGGCTGCTACTCCGGTGGCGGCGGCGGCGGCTCTGGCTGTGGCGGCGGCTCCTCTGGGGGCGGCGGCTCTGGCGGCTGCGGTGGCGGCTCCTCCGGGGGCGGCGGCGGCGGTTCCGGGGGCGCCAAGTGCGTGCCCGTGTGCCACCAGACCCAGCAGAAGCAGGCGCCCTCCTGGCCGTGCAAATAAGGCCCCCGGGGCGCCTCCGAGGCGCGGGAGCTGGAGGTGTTCTTCTCCGCGGGCGCCAATGGGCTTAGTGATCTGATCACGCCGTGAGGTTCCAAACCCTGAACGTCTGAACCCGCCACCGGGAAGAAGCCACTGAACACTCGTGCTGTGTCTTGTCCTGCAGCTTCCCCCTTGGCTTCTGTACAGCTACCTCCCAACCCCGATGCCTCCTCGGCCAATAAATGTGCTGATCACGAGAATGTCTGGGTATCCACGTGTCTTTGTAGCTCCCAAGTTCATTCATTCTGTTCCTCTTCTCTCTCTTCTTCCATTCGCTCACCCACAGGTGTCCACTCATGCAACACATATATTTATTTATTCTACTGGGGAGGGGGAGGGTGGGGAGATGGGAGTCTCCAGGGCTGGGAAGAATGCCTGGCAGGGGAGGGGAGAACTCTGATTTGGGGCTTAAGATGGCAAAGTGCTCCCCAAACACAGCTATCTTGGGGAAAGATGTCAATCAACAGCCCCTGTGCACTGAGTAGCCACCATGGGTCTTCTCATTGAGCTCCATGATTTTTAAAGACGTGGCTACCCTGGGCAGATGCTCTCTCGCAGTCCAGAGACTACTCTGCAAGGTCTGAACGCAGGGCGGCTGTACCTTAGGGTAAGGTGACCGGACGTCCCGCTTTTGGCGGGACGGTCCCGATTTTTAACAATTGGTCCCGCGTCCTGCGGCGTTTTATGCGGGACAAATTGTTGGAAATTGGGACTGTCCCGCCAAAAGTGGGGCGTCTGGTCACCTTACCTTAAGGCCACCAAGCGTATGCTACCCACACTGACAGGAGAAGGAGTCCTTGTGTCGGATGCTCATGAGCCTCTACAGAGAGTAAGGCTGTTCTTAGGCACTTGTAGGGACAAGAGGTAGAGGAGCCTCGTCAGTTTAGGAAAACACAGCCTAAGTGTGTGAGATGTTCGACACCAGGACCAGAGAGGTCCTGGGGAAACACGGGACGCCTATCACTTAACAAGAAAGAAGGTACAGCTACTCTGTTAATGACCTATTACAGAACCTCAAAAGAGATGGAGAACATCAGCTAGGTCAGGAACTGTCTAGGCTTATGGTTGGCAAACTGCAGCTCTCAAGCCACAGAAGAACTTTTTTAAGGTTAAAAAATTTGGCTCTCGCCCTAACTGGTTTGGCTCCGTGGCTAGAGCATCAGCCTGTGGACTGAAGGGTCCCGGGTTTGATTCCGGTGAAGGGCATGTACCCTGGTTGCGGGCACATCCCTAGTAGGAGATGTGCAGGAGGCAGCTGGTCAATATTTCTCTCTCATCGATGTTTCTGGCTCTCTATCCCTCTCCTTTCTTCCCTGTAAAGAGTCAATAAAATATATTTAAAATAAAATTTTGGCTCTCAAAAAAAAATTTAAATTGTTGTGCTGTTGATATTTGGCTCTATTGACTAATGAGCTTGCTGACCACTGGTCTAGGCCCTCTGTCACATCCTGATTCTATCTGCCAGAAGTAAAAGCCAATGTATTGATTTACTCAATGCAAATCACCTGCTACATGAATAAACCCAGGTGTTCTTCATACCCAATCACGGCTTGAGACAGAAAAGACAAATCATTTCTCCCCAGCTCTTTCATTTAGAGTCACTAGCACACTATCATCATTTTACAGCAGTCCTTTGTGGAGATCAAAACAAGTATGATATTTAAAGACCGAATAGTCCAACCACTGCATTGTACTTTTAAATGTCTTCAAGATTTCCTTCTTTTATTAGGTTGTTAAGAGTTTTTATATGGTGGTTGAAAACTGAGGTGACACCATGGATTTTGTTCTCTAATCTATGAATGGAGTGAGTTATATTAATATATTTTTCCATGTTGAGTCAACTTTGCATTCCTAGAGTGAAATTCAAGTTATTTTTACATTGTTCTTATGCATTTTGGGATTTAGGTTAATAATTTTATTTAATATTTTGCGACTGTTTACATATGAGATATTCATTTGCAGTTTTTCTTTACTATCCATTTCTGGTTTTGGTGTCAAGGATAACAGACAGCTTTACAAAATCCAATGGCATATGAACCTGTCTTTTTATACTCTGTAAGGATTTTTATATACCTAGAAAAGTTTATTTCTGGAACATAAGTAGAATTTACAAGTAAAATTGAGCTTGATGTTTTGTTTCATGGGAAAAGTTTAAATTCTTTGGTTATATAATGCCTAGTCTTAATTCTGTTTTGAATATTTACCGTATTTTTCAGACCATAAGACGCTCCGGACCATAAGACGCACCAGTTTTTAGAGAAGGGAAATGAAGAAAAAAAGATTCTGAAACAAATAGTGTCCTAAAATATTTTATGTGCATTAAAACCCAACATCACAGTCATAAACACATGTAATCAACCCTGTAAAGTAAACAGCAGCATTTAGAACCATTTTAGAGCCGGGCAAGCACACAGAGACCACACAGAGCCGGGCAAGTAAAAAAACTTTTTTTTTTAAAGTATATGTGTAGGCTATATTTGGACCATAAGACCCAGGGACTTTTCCCCCCCACTTCTGGGGGAAAAAAAGTGCGTCTTATGGTCCGAAAAATACGGTACATCTTTCTCAGAATATTTTCCATTTTATTGTTTTTATTTTGTTGACCTAAGGTTGTTCATAATATCCACTTAATGTTTTAATCTTTGCTGCATCTTTAAGTATATATTTTTTCATCCCTAATAGTCATTATATATATATATATATATATATATATATATATATATATATATGTATATGTATATATGTGTGTGTGTGTGTGTGTGTGTGTGTGTGTGTCTGTGTGTCTGTGTGCCTTTTTAAAATTCCACAGAAACCGCTGGAAGGAAGGGAATATGGTGCTCCTCGCCTTCCTCTTACCTCTTTGGCTTCTTCTTATCACTCCCTACCAGGTGCTCTTCCTCCAGCCAGAGCTGTGTCCTCATCTCTCTTCTCTGGGTCTCTGCTCCTTTGCTGATGATCTCACCCACCATCGTAGTTTGAAGTTTTCAGCTTGCAGGTCCTCCTTAGAGCTGCAGGTTCGGACATGCAGTGGGCTGTGCAATGGCCATCCTGGCTCCCACATGCCCTGTAGTGAATGTCTCTCCTTTTCCCAAAAGCCTTTCCCAAGCTATAAAGCCTCAGGTCACTCCTTCCTCCTCCTCTTCCTCTACACCCCACGGAGGAGGTAGAATTGTTACCAGCTCAGGGCTTGTACTTTGAAGCTGGATGGAACTGGGGCCAAGACTCAGTTCCCAGACCTGTAAAATGCACTAGACAGACCCACCACTTAGAAGGCTCTTGAGAAGAGTGAATGGGGTAGTGCAGATGAAATGCTCATATCAGCCAAGAGCATTCTAGGCCTCAACAAATATTAACTAAAATTTGCAAGCAATTAGCTGCCAGTCTCTGGTTCTGATCTCAGAAATGGCTCCTGACCCTTCCTTCTTTCTGCATGCTATGGCCTGACTGACTGTTTTTGTTGTTGTTTTTTGTTTTTTTTAAATATATTTTTTTATTGATTTTTTTACAGAGAGGAAGAGAAAGGGATAGAGAGTTAGAAACATCGATGAGAGAGAGTCATCGATCAGTTGCCTGTTGCACACCCCCTACTGGGGATGTGTCTGCAACCAAGGTACATGCCCTTGACCGTAATCGAACCTGGAACCTGTCAGTCCACAGGCCAACGCTCTATCCACTGAGCCACATTGATTTCCGCCCCATTGTTTCTAATCTAAGTTCTTCATTAGTCACATTAGGCTTTTCATTTCTCATACTGCTGAGAGTCTTATTTTATAATATGAAATTATATTTAATGATATGTAATTGCTGGTTTCCACTAACACATTTTGCCCTTAATATTAATCTATCTATAATAATAAAAGCATAGTATGATAATTAGACTGGATGTCTTTCTGGATGACATTCTGGACGAAGCTGGGGCTGTAAGGGAAGCCTGGGTCCCAGGTGCCAGAGGGAAGCCAGTGCCAGCAACCATGGGAAGGAAAGCCTACTCTTGCACAAATTTTGTGCATTGGGCATCCAGTGTTCTTTTTTTTTTTTTAATATCTATTTTATTGATTTTTTACAGAGAGGAAGGGAGAGAGATAGAGAGCTAGAAACATCGATGAGAGAGAAACATTGACCAGCTGCCTCCTGCACACTCCCAACCAGGGATGTGCCCGCAACCAATGTACATGCCCTTGACCAGAATCGAACCTGGGACCTTTCAGTCCTCAGACCGACGCTCTACCACTGAGCCAAACCAGCTTCGGCCATCCAGTGTTCTTATAAGATCCAGTGGCTTCAGAAAAGTGACAGCCGAGAAGTGCCAATTAGAAGCCCAAGGTGGCCCAGCTGGTAAGGACACGGAGCAGGGACTGCAAACTCAAGCTGCCTGACTTCAGTCAGTGCACTTCCCTATAGTCTGATGTCCAGAGATACAGGGACCCTGTGCCCTTCTTTTGTGGAAACTCTGATGGGATTCAGAGAATATGGATCACCCACAAGGCAACCTGGGCAGAACTCAGGTTGCTCACTCAGGGAACGTTTAGGCCATGATTTCTCTCTCTCTCTCTTTCTCACTCTCTCTCTCTTTCTCTCTCTCTCTCTCTCTCTCTCTCTCTCTCTCTCTCTCTCACACACACACACACACACACACACACACACACACACACACACCTGAAGCTGTTTTTTGGGGGGAGGTGGGTTAGGGAACAGCAGGGAAGTCACTCAGGGAACATCTAACAGTTCCAACTACCAATCAAATAAACAAAAACAAAAACAAAAACAAAAACAAATCTGACCTGACAGCCCCTTGCTGTTGCCCTCAAGATGAAATTTCAATGGAAACGCTGAAATTACACCAGTCTAATCCCAGGGCTGATCTCCCAGAAATATCACTTTTTACTACGACCTCAAAGGTCCCACACAAACTGGCTGTTAGTTGGAGTCCCATCCCGTACACCAAAAGGTTGTGGGTTTGGTTCCTCATCAGGGCATATACCTAGGTTGCAGGTTTGATCCCTCGTCAGGGCGCATATGGGAGGCGACCAACTGGTATTTCTAACATTTCTCTCTCTCTCTCTCTCTCTCTCTCTCTCTCTCTCTCTCTCTCTCTCTCTCTCTCTCTCTCTCCTTTCTCTCCGACCCTCGTTCCCTCCCTTCAATTCCCCTACAAATCAATAAAAACATATCCTCAGGTGAGGATTTTAAAAAGGGGGGATTCCCAAGGGATGTGAAAAGGATGAGATGAAGGGAAGGGGTACAATAGAAAGGTGGACCTTACGGAAGAGGGCTCATCACCCACTGAGGCTGATGTGAAGAAAGCTCTGGGCATGTGGTCACAGGAACATGTGTGAGGTCGCAGGAAGCTGAGAGAGGTCCTGCTGGGGGCCTCCATGTTGGCTGACAGGAAGAGGGTGGGGAGGGGAAGGAAGTGAAGTGTAGTGATATTTGTGATGAGTGAGGGAGCAGAGGCTGACCACGAGCAAAGGGAGATGTGTCCTCAGGCAGTGCTGGGCTCTTCTGGGAGACGAGCATGCCTCCTCCTTCAGGTCTCAGGACAGGTTGCCTGGCCACTGCATCCTGATGTGCCCAGAGCAGTTTTGTGGGCACAAGTACCAGGACACCAACACCTGGCCCACTCCTGCAGCAAGTGCCCCAGCAAGTTGGCATCTCCAGCCATTGCTCCTTCTTTCCTGTAAGTGCACTAGAAGGACATCCCGCCTCCTCACGCAGCAGGTTCTGGCAATCACCCCTGGCAAAGCTGCTCCACCCTACATTCCCAGCCCTGGTCTGAAAGCTGGCTCATCTGCACCACCTACTGGCCAAGTTAGGGCAGGACTCCAGTTCTGTTCTGCTTTTCCCTAATCCGGTGCCCCCCACACCCCCCAAAAAAACAGCTGCAGGTGTGTGTGTGTGTGTGTGTGTGTGTGTGTAGAAATTGGCCAGGCAAAAAATGGAGGGAGTGGGGGAGAACATTCCAAGCACAGAGAGAGACAGCCCGGAGAAGGTCCACAGCCTATGGCTGTTAAGGCTCCATCTCACCTCATGATGGTTCCCTATAGGTCCTCTCCCTCACCTCATCCACACCCATCTCCAGATGAAAACTTCATTGAGAGAAGGCAACGTGGGTTGCTGTTATTCAGTGTGAGCTCATATGGGTATTGCACACTTATTTGTAATTTTGCAAGTTTTTTCTTTCATCTTCAAATAGCAACCCAGAGGATTTTATCCTGGCCTAAGCTGGATAGAATAACAAACCAAGAGGATTGAGCAAGTATCCTTGGCTTCACTGGAACCAGAAGGTAAACCAAGATTTCTGTGATTTTAAGCAGCAACATCCCTGTAACTTCCTGGCACCAGAAGTCTACAAATCACAAAGCCCTGTTCTCCCTCCACAAGCCAAGCCAGTCAGAAAAGTCCTCTATGCGTCATCTCTGGCAGCTATAGAAATACAACACCACTTCCCACATGCCTGGCTCGGCACCAGGCTGGTGTGTCCAAGTTGGCTCATAGGATTCTGCAGCCATATCCAGGTCAGTTGGCCAGAATCCCAGAAGATGCACACTTGAGACGTCAACCTCATCACATGTGTATAAAAAGACTAAAGAGGGAGAGGGCCATGAAGAATGGAGTTCGAGGATACACTTGCCTTTTAGTGAAAAACAAGAATAAAGGTTTCAGATTGGAATTCATAAGAATACTAGAGGCCTGGTGCACGAGATTTATGTACTTGGCAGGGGAGGGTGTTCCTCAGCCTGGCCTGTACTCTCTCACAGTCTGGGAGCCCTCGGGGGATGTCCGGTTGATGGCTTAGGCCGGCTCCCCTAAGTCATCAGTGGGGAGATCCTTAGCGCTGCTGTGGAGTGGAGGCAGGAGAGGCTCCCTCCACCACTGCTGTGCTCACCAGCCGTGAGCCTGGCTTCTGGCTGAGCAGCACTCCCCCTGTAGGAGCACACTGACCACCAGCTCCTGCATTGAGCGTCTGCCCCCTGGTGGTCATTGCATGTCATAGCGACAGGTGGTTCCACAGTTCCATGGATTTACACATTTGTCTTTTATTATATAGGATTGGTGGAAACTGAAACAATGACTGTGGATGTTCAATAATAAAAGTGGATTAATAGTAATGGACAGTGGCATTTCTACACCACATGCAACCTTATGTGCACACACACATATTTTACACAATCCCTCTCCCCCTCTGGCAGTCATAGAATATCAGGAAGGGATGATAAATAGTTTCTGTAAGATAGATAGTCCCATTAGTGGCTGGTGCACCACACACACACAGCAGAGACCTGTGGCTCAGGGTCACTGTAATCCTAGAGGTAGATTTCTGGAAAAACTATACCGGGCAGTGATGGGCACTCAATCTGGGCTCTTGGGCACATCTCCTCGGTTACTCATCTGTGAAATGGGACCACAGTGCCCTGGGTTCAAATGGGGCGATGTCTGTAGGAGTGCCTGGTGCTCATTGCCCAACGTGTGTGAGGGATGGTAATGAAGGATTTGAATAAAAATGCCAAAGATAAAGAAGTGATCAATGGCTCGTGGAGGATGACAAAATCAAAATTCAGAAAGAGTGCAACACATTTTCAACTATGAGGTAACCCTTCTCATAGGATGCTCATCAAGACAAACCAGAGTCCCACCCTGGTGTTGAAATGGGCCTGATGATGCTTGATGGGCTAATAGTCGTTGTGATGGAAAGACCCACAGGGCCAGCGGGGCTGACCATGTGACCAAAGGCACACCAATCCTAGTTGCATTGCTGTTGTTATTATTACAACGTGAGTTCAGGACTGTGCCATCTACATGGGTTTTTACATGCATCGCCTTCTTCCCTGAAGACTGTCATGGAATCAAGGGGAGTAATCACTTCAGGGAACTCTGAGTCAGGGGACCCCTTGGTATTTTTCCCACTTCCGGTTGTGAAAGGAATGTGAGCACAGAAGGACAGCCCAATGGCGTGTGACAAGGGGATAGAAGCTGCTGGTACTGGCATGCACGCACAAGCTGTGGGACCTTACAGAGTGACCTCATCTCCTCTGGCTGGGCCAGTTTCCTCCGTGGCCAGGTAGCAATGGAAGCTCCTGCCCTGCAGAGCTCAGATGAAATGAAATCACAAATACAGGACCAGCACAGAGTCTTCACAAATTAAAGGTCCCTGCACGTCATCAGGCATCAGCCCTCTCCATTATCCACTTACAATGTCCGTGCTGCGGGTCTGCTGTAACCTGGTTTGATCCCAGGGGGGTTTCCCTCCCTGCCTCCACTTTCAGACCCAGGGCCACTTCCTCTCCCCCATGGGATGAGCCAGTGGGAGCTCAGCAGGGACAGGCCAGACTAACTAGCTGCACTTGGCGCCTGTTCCAGGACAAATCAATAGACGATCAGATCATAGCACCGGCTCCCAGACCTTGTGATCACACATGTCTAACAGGTCTGCTTAGCAGCTACGGTGCACCAGGAGCAGGCACAGGCATGAATGGTGAAATGCTTCCCACCCTCATGGCGCCTATAATCTAGTGAGATAGAGAGACAATAAAACCTGGGGAGAGAGAAAGAGGTGTGTGTGGAGGGGATTTCAAATGAACAAGCGCCAAAGAAGAACAGAATAGGAGAGTGCTAATTCAGGAGCTTCAATAGCTAGACTCTTAGAAGAAGGAACCTTGAGCTGAGCACTGGAGGGTAAGTAAGAAATATGCCCCTCCTCCCCCATCAGGCAAGATCAGTCTTGGGTACCAAGTGCTCTCGGCCATGCTGAGGGGGAATCCTCTCCTCTGGTCCCTACCATGGGGAGGCACTTCTCGCTCCAGCTCCTTGTGGAATGTCTCCCAGGAGCTCCCGCCCCCACCATCCCTCCTAGGTAATAACACCCTCCCTCTTTGGGAGCCGGCTCTTCTAACTGAGGCCCCGCAGAACCTGCTGAGCCAGAAACACACTTGTCCCACTGCTGTATGACTCTGAGCCTCTGGGAAATATGTACCTTTGCCAGAGCAGCCTCACCCTTGGCTTCTGCCCCCACCCCTACCCCCACAACCACCATAACCCGCTTCACTCCCCAGCATTCCTAGCAGGCCTGGGCAGGTAGGGCTTGGTTGGTGGCCCAGTGAAGCCAATTGGTGGGAGTCCCAGCCCCCCTGGTCCCACTGTTACTCCACACTGCCATATTCTAGATCAGAGAGAGGCAAAGATAGGGACAGTCACAGCAGCAGAAGGGCAGGCAGAGAGGAGACAGGGCAGCAGGTGAGGTGGCCTGAGAGGAAGAATGTCAGAGACAGCTGTGGACAAAAGGAAATCCTTCCACCCACAGGAGAGCTGTAGCAACAATAGCAACATGAGTAAGAAGGGTAACAATACCTCCGCTGACTTGAATGAAACCACTCTTATAGGCCAACTGAAAATCCTAAGACCCTAACACATTTAATTCACTTCATCCTCATAACACCCTGGGCGGGGAGGGGGGAGGCAGGTGTTAGCATGAACAGACTTTTAATGACTAAGGGGACCTGGGCAGGATCTCTTGAAACGAATGAGGCAGGAGAGACCACAGCGAGGCTGTGTGCTGAGTGTCCTTTGGCTGTGTCTTTAAGACCAATGACAAGTACATCACTCTGAGGGCTCAGTATTGCAGACCATGCAGCGCTGTTTGTTGAGGAGGCCTTGCTGATGGAGGGGGCGCGTTCGCGGCTTCCTTGTCCCGAGCCTGCCGGGCCCTCACTGTTTGAAGTGAGGCCAGCTGCTGATGATGTCGTACAGAGCCTTCCCTGGAGACAGAATCTGGCTCACGTCGCTGTGCCCCACCAGCAGGTAGTTGGGAGCCAGGTATCCCTGGTCCACCGCGCACTGGATCAGGCTCTGGGCCGCCTCCAGTGCTGCAGCATTGGGTGGCTTTTCTGCAAAACACGTACCCCACCAATCGTCAGAGCCTCAAGGCTACTTGCTTAGGTAGGACAGGGGCAAGCATCTGCATTCCAGCCTCCCTCTGTCTCCCCACGCGCCCCCCCCCCCCCCCATACACCATAGCCAACAAATGCACATCATCTGTGGCAGCCAGGCCCAGAGAGAAAACAGGGTCACTGTGTTCCCGGATTCCTCTTTGCGGAGCTTCTTCTGGAAGTTCCGAGCTGCGCTGGGTGAGAACCGCAGCACAGCACACCACCTTTCCACAGGCACCGCGAGGCAGGTGCACCCTTGACTGTCCACACTCCGCCATACACAGCAGGCAGTGATGCTCCGCCACAAAATTGTTGCCATGGTTACCAAGGAAGACGATGCATTTGCTGACTGAGCCATGTAAGTACCAAAGTTTGCAAAAGATTATGTTCCTAGCCATGGCTATAAAGACAGATGGAGCTGGGAATGAGGATGGTGGATCTGGGGGAAACTTTCTGCCCGGGAGGGACTTCTGGGTGACCTGATCCTGTACTGAGTGAGTCCCTGAAAGCTAAAATGTACCCCATATTGTCAGGCACCACAAGGTTGCCTTTTCCCCCCGTGCTCCCCAGACATTCCACAGGCGGCTCCATCACCCGAACCCCTCTGCCCCATGCTCACGCCTTACCCACAAAATTGCCCATGAAGGCAATTCCTAGGGCAATATCGTTGTATCCGTAGGTGTGAGAGCCTTGGATATTCCAGCCAACGCCTTCGTACACACCGCCGTCCTGGCCCACCAGGAAGCTAGGAGTGGGCAAAGAAAAATGGAGACAGTCACGCTGGGAAGAAGAATCGTCTTCATTTACTCCTTGAATCATTCATTCATTCTCCCATTCATTTATATCACATGTTGAGTGCACATTTCTCATGTGCCAATGTGCACAGAGACAAAACAGAGAAACAAAAAGACAGTCACAATCTCTGAACCTAAGAAGTGAGGTCAGACTGTGACAAGCAATAATAACAGCCACTTCAGTACCCCGCTGTGACGGCCTTTCGCCCCACAATGCCATGGAATCTGATCTCCTCAAGGTGACCAGTGACTGTCTTGACACCAGTACAATGGGAACGTGTTTTTGTTCCAGGTTACACTGACTCTCTTCTGGACATGTTCTCTTCCTTGTAACTTTGCAAAAGCTGTTGTGATTGAGTCATAGATGGCTGGTTGTAATGTGTCATCCTCTCACCTTCCATCCCTTCTATGAAATTCCAAGGCATCTTCTATTTAGTTTCTGCTATTCCATTAGCTCAATATGTTTTTCATGACAGACCAGGCATTAAAGGAACCAAAAGAGAACATTCTGGTTTTGTTCTCTCTCTTCAAGTAGATATGGTACTAGAGGCCTGGCGCATGAATGTGTGCACAGGTGGGGTCTGGCCAGACTGCTCTGATTGGAGAAGGAGGGGGCCAATTGGGGGCTGGATTGGCCTGGAGTAGGGGCTGCGGGAGGTTGGCCAGCCACCCCTGGCCCTGATGGAGTGGGGGGGGGGGGGGGGAGAGTCAATCAGGGGCCAGGCTGGCTGGGGGGAGGAGCCACAGGAGGTTGACTGGCCGCGGTGCACCAGTCATCCCGGTCATTCTGGTTGCTTGGCTTTTATATAGAGAGATTGTTTTCCCAATTGTAGAGATGAGGCTAAAGAGGCCAGAGAAGTTAAGAACTCCTGTGTGTATAACATGGAGTAACAGTGCCAGAGGCACAGCAGGGTTCTAACATCAGAGGGAGCAAGTTGGGGTTGGGCCAGATGGAGGGAGAGGCTGAGCAGAGCCTGTGTCTCTCAGTGGTGGAAGGGGTTACAGAAAAAAGGCACCACCCGCCAGTGGTCTTCCCTGAGGGCCTCGCAGTTTTGTTTTATCACTATTGCTCCCAATGTCTTTTCATTCTTCCCTAGAGGAGACTATTCCCAGGAGAGACAGCTAGCCTGTGGCTATGTCTGACTGATAGTCCAGAGCAGGCGTCTTCAAACTAAGGCCCACGGGCCACAGGCGGCCCGCAGAGGAGTCTGATCCGGCCCGCCAGGTTTTTTGGGCAGTGAGTGCAGCCGAGGTGTTACAGTAGGAATTAGTAGTTCATATAGTCCGGCCCTCCAGCTCTCTGAGGGACCGTGATCTGGCCCCCACTTTAAAAAGTTTGAGGACCCCTGGTCCAGAGTCTTGCACAAATAAAAGACACTGCTTTATGTAAAGCACCTGGTACAAAGGACGGGCTCAGTCATGTCAGTCCCTCCCTGAGCCTTCCTTCCTGCAGCCATGAGGAGAAAGGTTCACATTGCCACCGGTCCCACTTACTGATAGCCAATGTCGCAGAAGTTCAGTTTGTCTATGTGGTAGGACTGGATGTCTCGGACGCGAGACATACAGTCCTCGGACGTGTTGCAGGTCGCTCCAGCCGTGTGGATGATGATGACATATTTGGCTGGGAGGCTCATTCGAGGGCAGTATGTCTCTCTGGCTTCCCAAGCTGACCGGGGGATGATGCCGGGGCAAGCTGCGGTGAAGTGAAAAACAGAGACCATGGATGGGTGGGGGTAGTAGAGGGCATAGAAGGGATAAGAAGTGATGGGAAAAAATAAATTTAAATTAAATTTGAAACAACAACAACAAAAACCAAGGCCCTGGGAATGCTCCTGTGCCCACACGTGGACAATCACACCACTGCATTGGTGGGGTCCCTTAGCCTGGCCCACTGGTGCATGAATTTATGCACCAGGCCTCTAATACTGAGTCCAAGAAAAGATCCACTCTAGCAGAGTATACTGAGCTATTGAAAGTGCTTATTAATTGTCCTGGATTTAGGCTGCTGCTTGCTCATTCCCAAATAGGTTGTGATTTTTATTATCTACTTTCTTGAAATAGTCACTGATGTCAGCATAATCTGTGAAGTCAGTCTTTTTTGTTTTTGTTTTCCCCGATGCTGTGGTCATGTTGCAGGTTGGCTGAGTTTTGCATTTAGAAAGGTGTGTGTGTGTGTGTGTGTGTGTGTGTGTATACTCATGTAGAATACACAAACATATATACATGTTTTCTGCCCCATGACCAGCTTTGTTTTTCTCCATAGCCTTCCTGTCACTTGATATCATATGCATTTTACTTGTTGATTTCTTCATTTTGGATCTTTGTTCACTGAAATGTGAAGCTGTTTTGTTTATGGTTGTATCCTCCGTACCTAGAAGAGTGCCTGGTATTCAGGAAATACCTGTTGATGGAGTGAACATGTGTGTACACATACTTGTGTCAAAGAATGGCTCCATGGTCATGTCATTTCAGTGAGAAGGAGAAAAGGTTGTCAGGAAGGTACCCTCTCAGAACTTTCTGGGTCTCGGCATGAAGTGTTCTGGGTCCCAAGAAATCAATGAACACCAACAGGAAAAAACAAAAACAAAACCTTCCCTTGTGTCCCAGTGTCCCAGGGAGGGGGAGGAGGGGGGAGGGAGGACCTCACCTTTCCTGGGCGTTGCTGGCTGCTGATAGGCTAGGCACATCTCTTCATTCAAGAGAAGCGGCTGAATATACCAGGGTGACAGGTGTCCCTTCCGGATGGCGTAGAAGATCAGGTCCTGTGCTGCCGATAAGGCAGCTGGGCTGGGACTGCTGCCTGAGAGAGGATGACATGGATCACCAAACTGTCAGCAAGAAACTCCAATCTGGCCCAGGAGGGAGGGAAGGTAAGGTTACCACCTGAGCCTGGATAACTGATGGATGGGAAGAGAGGAAACTGGTCTAGGAGCTAGGACAGCGGTACTAAGAAGCAAAGAACGACTTGGGCAGCTGTTGGAGGCCAGGTTTGTGACGTCTTTCAAGGGCCAGACTAAGACTTATATCCACCCCATCTCCAAGTGGAAGAGTTGGGAGGCAATACAATCTACACGCAGAGAGGCCCACGTGACCTGGTCAGGCACACCTGGCATGGAGAGCAGTGTGACAGGTTATACCTCGCAGCTCCCACAGTCATGCATGTGGCACCTGCTCTTTTCACCCGCTCACTCACATGATTCTCACAGAAACACCTCTGCGACCCATGCTGTGACGTCACCTACTAGCTCTCCACCCCACCGGGCCCTGTGCTCCCCTCTGGTTTGCAGGGGGCCACACACCTACAAAGGACATTTCTCAGACTCCCTTGCCTACCTGCGTCTGGGTTGGGTCCGCCCAAAGGGAACCACCAGAGGAAGAGAGGAACCTCACTTTCCTGACTGTGCAGGTTCAGTGCCCCACAGCCTCAGACACCGAAGTGACAGCAGCGCTGTGAGCTCACCGGTGGCGACAGCAACCTCCCAGAGAAGAGGGAGAGGACACAGAGGACGCCAGGCCAAAGAGTCCCAGTGAGGAAAGGACTCTGAGAGAGGGTGATGGAGGCTGGAAAGATAGGCATGTGGGGAATATGTGAGATCATGCTCCCCAGCGGAGGTGGTCAGTTTGGCTCAAATAAATTCGATAATATTTTATTTTAAAAAGAGAAAGGAGAGAGAGGAGTGTGGAGACAATGGAGCGAAGGAAGAGTTATAGAGGACCCTCCAGCAGAGGGCCCAGGGGGTGACCGTTACCTTCCTTGGCGCCAAAGAAGGCGAGGCCCAGGGAGACGTTGTTGTAGCCCCGGGTGTGCAGGCCTTGGATGTTCCAGCCGAGGCCTTCATACACCCTGCCGTCCTCCCCGATCAGGAAGCTGCCGGGCAAGGACACGCAGATTGAATGGCAAATACCCCCCGTAACAGGAACCCTCTCACCCATCCTCAGAAGTAGGGGCAGCTATGTTTTCACATTTTTAACTTATTTTATTTTATTTATTTTTTAAAAAAATAGATTTTATTGCTGAAACCAGTTTGGCTCAGTGGATAGAGCATCAGCCTGCAGACTGAAAGGTACCAGGTCTGATTCCGGTCAAGGGCATGTACCTTGGTTGCGGGCACATCCCCAATAGGGGGTGTGCAGGAGGCAGCTGATGGATGTTTCTCTCTCATCGATGTTTCTAGCTCTCTATCCCTCTCTCTTCCTCTATTTTTAAAATAGATTTTATTGATTTTATTTATTTATTTATTTATTTATTTTTTTACCAAGGGGAAGGGAGAGAGATAGTTAGAAACATCTATGAGAGAGAAATGCCTTTTGCACACCTCTCACTGAGGATGTGTCCGCAACCAAGATGCATGCCCTTGACCGGAATCGAACCTGGGACCTTTCAGTTCGCAGGCCGACACTCTATCCGCTCAGCCAAACTGGTTTCAGCTGTACTTATTTTATTTAAAGCAACAAGAAAGGGATGATGGGAGAAGAGAGAAGAGCTGCTCCGAGTCTCTTTTACCAGGGTGACTTGAGTGCGGCTCTTACTTGTAGGCCATGTCGCACCAGCCTTTGGTGTAGACGGAATGGGACTGAAGGGCCCGTAGCTTCTCGCTGCACACATCCTGCTGCTGGCACTCCATGCCCGTGAGCTGCTGTGTGATGACGTAGGCCACCGGTGGGGTCAGCCGGGCCCAGCAAGTCTGAGATCTCGCTCCCCACTCCTTGCGGGAAACAATGGTGGGGACCTCTGCAGAGGGAACGGAAGGATGGCACGCTGCAGCTTTTACCCAGTTCCCCTGGCCCGCTGCCCACGCCACCCTCATCCTCCCAACTCAGGGCCTCTCCTGCCCTAGGATGGTGGGACAGGCCTTGGAGTAGGCCTTCGCCAGCCACAGCCTCCCCTTCGCATCTCCACAGTCTGTTGAGGCTTAAAAAAAAATTCCCCATCGGACTCTCAAGGAAGTCTGGTGGCCTTGTTCCCCCAACACTGGCTTCTTGTGCTTCCCTAGAGGCTACCCAACCTTACCTCCTCCCCGGCCGGCTTCACCCTCCACCTTCGGGAAGCAGCCCCAGCACCACTCGCACCCAACCCGGCCCTGAGCTGCCTTCTCTTGAAGACCTCATGTGGATGCCTAGGGTGTGTGGCCCTCACTGGCGCTGCCCGTGTCTCTAATTGTGTCTTCAGTCTGTCCCTCTCCCACAAGGTGACTTGCAGAAAAGTCCGCCACTGTCCTCAAATGAGGGAGCTCTGGTCCAGGAAGCCCCATGAGCATCAGGCGTGTAGCTTTCTCTCTTTCAAATGAAAAGTCACTGTGGGCAGGGCTGTGAGAGGCTCCTGAGGCTCCCTGTCTGTGTCCATCATGGGGGTTCCAGAAGCTCTCTGAGGGGCAGGGGGTCTCCACCCTACTGCTGAGAGCTGGGCACAGGGCCTTGTCTCTTCCCCGGGTCTTCTCTCCTGCCTGGACCTCCCCTGTGCCCCAGGGCTCAATCCATCCACGGCACTCCTTGGAAAATGCCCCTCTTGGGACTCCATCCCACCGGAGTGACTCCTGAGAAACATTCCGGGCACCTAAGAAGCCCCAGTCAACCCCAAGTCAGCTCACCATTGTGACCCTTGCGAATGAGCTGTGAGATGCCCACAAACAGGTCCACAAGCCGCTCTGTCACGTCTCCAGCTTGGGTTTCATTCCAGGAGAACTGAGGGGAATACCCTACAAAGGAACATCGTGCTTGGTGCTGGTCCTCAGAGAACACCGGGGCCACCCCAGAGGTGTGGGCTCTGCCCCCACAACCTTCCACAGCCTCTCAGTCTCCCCAAGTCCCCTGACTTCCTCCAGGAAACAAGGCAGGCATGTTTCAGGCCTCACCCTACCTCGGCCTCATTCTCCCCTAACCCTCCCCCATTCCAGGGGCTCTGCAGCCGCTCCATCCCCTTATCTGAGCGGCTCAGCCTTTGCCAGTTCACCTGCTTACCTATTAATACATCAGAATCTCAACACCAAAATAGCCATCATCATTTTGAGCGAACACACACACACACACACACACAACCTATTGGTCCAGGCAAGGTTCTTGAAATACAGAAAATTTCCAACCGCTGTGACTGCCCTCACAAACTAGATGCTTTAGACAGGATTAATTGAAGGTTAGTCATTACCAACGTACCTCATCCCCCTCTGCCTGGCCAGCCTCTGAGATCATGGGAACCATAACCACTAGAACCAGCATCACCTCCCACAGGCCAGCTCTGAAGGTTACAAAGCATTTTCAAGGGCACTATCAGGTCTGTGGCTTAAAACAACTTTACAAGATAAGCAAAAGCAAAGCAAATGAACGATTCCTTCTACACAGAAGAGCAACTAAAGCTCAGAGAAATTAAATTACTTGTCTGAGATGATACAGGTTTTAAGACATGGACTTGGGTTCTGACCCAAGCTGTTCCTTCCCAATGTTGTCAGACGGCCATGGACAGATGCCCATGTCACCACCACAGTGTGGCCTTCTCTCTGTCTATAAGTATAAGACAAGGCCAGTAAGGGTCTCCTCCAAGGCTGAGATCCTGCTCTTTTGTAAAGTCACATCTGTGACCATGACACTGAAGATGAGGCGTGCCTGGCAGGCTGGGGGGATGGAGAACTAGAGCCCATCTCAGCAGGGAGGAGGGATCAGAACTGAGCTCACGAGGGCAACACGGGACAGGTGGGGAAGAGTGATAAGCCTGGAGAGGACAATTTGCAAGTGAAACTAGCTGGGGCTAATGCCCAAAGCACTTCTGACCCAACGAAAAACACTTACCCCAGGCCTGGAGGCTCAGAGTTGAGAAGACGAGCAGCCACAGCCGCATCCCCATGTGGTCCCGGGACACCAATGAGAAGATTGTGGACCACGGCCCTGGGAGAGACACTGACAGTGAATCCAACTGTGCTCACTCTTCAAATAGGGTACGCCGTTGCACGGTGCCCTGTCTGCCTCCTAGGCTTCTCATGGTCCCCAACACAGGGCCTGACCTTCAGCTGGGGCTCAGGAAAGGTGACGGCACCAATACCTCTGTCTAGCGACCACCCTCAACCACCACCTGCATCCTTGGGAGCTTCTGATGCCTCAGGGGAGCACAATGCCTCATCATAGGTCTTCCAGTATAGACAATAACAGCTTCTAAAGCCCTTTAGTGGCAGTGTAGATGTTTTTAACATCTAGTTCTGTGATTTTATAATTAACTAGAGGCCCAGTGCATGGATTTGTGCACCAGTTGGGTCCCTCAGCTTGGCCCGCACCCTCTCTCCATCTGGGACCCTTCAAGGGATGCAGTAGTGAACCAAGCGGCAAGTGGCCTGGGAGGACCCCAAGCCTGGGCTGGGGGCCACGCTCCTGCTCATCCTGCTCCCGTGTGCCTGCCACCCCTCGGTAGCGCTGCAGTGGAGGTGGGAGAGGCCGGTGCTGCCGCAGCTGTGCTTGTCAGCCATGAGCCCAGCATCTGGCGCCCATAGGTTAGCTGAGCAGTTCTCCCCCCTGTGGGAGCGCACTGACTACCAAGGGGACAGCTCCTGCATTGAGCGTCTGCCCCCTGGTGGTCAGTGCGCATCATAGTGACTGATCATTCAGTCTTCTGGTCACTTAGACTTTTATATATATACATCCTTAAAAGTTCCCATAAGGTCTTGTTAACCCCACTTTGATAAGTGAACACAATGAGGCTCAGAAGTAAGCTATAAGTAGGAGTAGGACTGGCTTCATCTCGAGTTCTATTGAAGAGTCAGAGGTGTGGGGTACTTCACCCAAAAAAATTTCTGACAGATGCTAATTATAGTAACAATTACAACTTACTGATCATATCCTATGTTCCAGGTGTTTTGTAAAGATTCCACAGACATTCCATTAAATTTCCTCAGAGTGCCCTACAATACCTGCTCTTACCATCAGGAAACTGGGCCTCAGAAAAGGAGGCAAGTGAGACATAATGCATAAAGATTCAGGGCTAGAGAGGAAGAGAAGAAATGCGGAGGCTGTAAGCCCAAGACCCACAGCCAATAGAGAAAATTTTCTTTTTAGGAGAAAGAATTCAAGAGGGGAGGGAGATCAAGGCAACTCTCTTTACTCTGTTAACATTTTAACCTGATAAGAGTCCAGACCTTCCCAAGAAAAAGCACTCACACCCACACACAGAAATACCTGGGGTCCCACACAGGTCAGGGTGCAGGCGGCTCACCCCTCATGGGCTGGCAGCTCCTCTCTTTCAGGCTTGGCCCCTGCCCTGCCCTCCTCCAGCAGCTGCCTCCTCTGCCCTTCACTCTCCCTTCACTAGAGGGCTCTCCTCCTGGGAAGGAAGCCTGGGGCTCTGGCCTCCTAGAGAGGAGGAAAGCGGGGTCCCTATAGAAGGTGAAGAGAAGGGCAGAGTTCTGAGGCTCCAAGCCTGCTCCCTCCACGGCACTGAGAAGGACTGGGGAAGCCAGACTCGGGTTGAGAGAAGGGACCCACCCTGTGAATAAGCCCGGTGCCTCCTCCCTGGGAAAGGGCAAGATTGCCCAAGCGCCCTGCGCTCCTTCCTCACCCCAGCCCTCAGGAAGCCAGCCACCTGGGGATGCCCATGGGCCCTGGGAGTCCTGTCCCACACCTGGGAACTTCCTGCCTGTGTGTAGATCATGAAATGGGCCAGCATTTGGAAATGAGACTAACTCAGTGAATCATTACCTCCCAAGTGACCATCCTTGAAGTTACAAAGCCATGCCTTGATAAAGGACCTGTTCACACTTCATGACAGACCAATGGATTCTCATTTGACAGAGTACAAGGGTTCAGTGATATGGTTTCAGATGCCACATTGCAGCTAACCTTTAAGAAACTCCGCTTGTTGAGTTTGGGTGAATTATTTAAAAAATAATACCCATGGTGATATTTAAAGACTATTAATATATTTCTACTTATCTGTGTGAGGCTGGATTTTCTCCCTATTTCTAACCTAAGCAACATATACAGCACATTGAATGCAGAAATGGATATGAGAATCCAAAGATCTTATTTTGAGCCCTATATTGAAGAGGTGTGCAAAAAAATTTTGTATTTATGTCTCTCTTCTCACTAGCTTTTTTTTTTTTTTGAAGAAAATATAATTATTTTGTATTTTAAAAATTAAAAATGTGTTACTATAAATTGGGTTTACTAATAGTACTATTTTAGGTGAATTAATAAGTATTTTAACATGTTAAATTTATAAATATTAATAAATGTAACTTACACAGACAAAAGTTTTTTGAGATACTTAAATGCAAAAAAAAAAAAAAACCTTGAGAGCAGAAAGATTGAGAACCCAGGCCAAGGATTGCCACAAGCTGTCGAGATGCGGGAAGGCCACAAGGGGGCAGTATGCACTCTGGGAATCCCGCAGCAATCTCTTCCATCTCCCTGTCTCCATCACACCTCCCACTTCCTTCCTCCTCCTTCTCCTCTGTGTTCTCCCATGCTGCACTACTTCCTAATTACAGGACATGACAATCTTTAAGCATCAAAACCTAGGCAGTCACATGTTAATCTGCAAACGATTATCAGATGTCTCTCAGAGGCAAAGCGTATCATCCAGGGCTGAGTAAGCACGAGAACCCCACTCTCAAGGAGACAATAATCTGAGGCAGACCCAAAGGCCAGCAATTAAAATGCTAACATTCCAAAGTGTGGGAGAGCCCTCCATTGTCTCTACGGGGCTGTATACGTCAAAGGGATTTCCGAGAGGCAGAGAGCGCCAACAGCAGACTCTGGGATACTCGCCAGAAACTTCTGGAAGGACCTGGAACCTCGGGGACATCATGAGGACAAAGTCTAGGTTCCGTGAGAGATGGGGCAGCAAGGAGGAAGGCGGGGGCTGCAGGCAGAGTCAGCAGGTTGAGCGCAGCTGGAAGGGCCCCAGGCTCCACCGCCCTGTGGAGAGGGGGACCTGCCTTCACCAGCTGGGGAGCAGCAGGTGAGCCCCAGGCCTGCAGCATTCATGGGGCCCACCCAGGTCCCATGGGAACCTGACGTCAGGTCAGCACTAGACAGCACCAAAGGCCTGCCGACCCACCTGCACACTGAGTGGCTAAGAAAACAGGCCTCCGCATGGAAATAGCTTCCGGAGCCCACCGGCAAGTCAGGCAGAGTTAGGACTAGCATGCAGCTCCCAGCCCCTCTGTCCACTCTGAGCTTTCAGCCCGCGTCCTGCCCATGGGCTAGAGGCAGAGTCCGGGGAAGGCCCGTGGTGTGCCTGACATCACACCTCCTTGTAACACCTGCTATAACATGGACAACTCAGTGGGGCAAGACTTCCTGAAGGACCACAGCAGGGCTGGGGAGGGAGAAGGGGCACACACAGGTGGGGGAAGGGACACAGTGGAGGGGAAGGGTGTGGGGAGGGAAAGGGGTATGGGGAGAGAGAAGGGGTGTGGGGAGAGGAAGGGGCACACACAGGTGGGGAAAGGGGTGCAGGAAGGGGAAGGGGCACATTGGAAGGGGAAGGGTATAGGGAGGGGAAGAGGTGTGGGGAGAGAAAGGGGTGCAATGGTTGGGGTGGGGTTACAGCACTTTTGCCCGCTCACTTGTACACTGATTTGTTCTTAACACAGCCAAGGCAGCCATACCTTTTCTCCCAGTGGAAGCCTCAAGAGTCACTGTCCAGAACCAGGACTATTGCCCCAACGTATGCCCTAGCAGGAGGTGCCGCGTTTTCCCTCTATTTACCACCCCTAATCCCAACCTCCGGCCTGGGACTGCAGCGAGAAGGCAGGTGGGGGTGATGTGGGGCACGTACTGATGGAGCCAACCACAGCCTGCCTGGTCAGGACCTCCATGGCTCAGCCTGGCCTTCTCCGAGCCTGGGCTAGCCTGGAACCCTGGGGCCAGCTGTGGCCTTCAGACCAGGGAACCCACTGCCCACAGGGGATCCCATCTATTTGGAAGCCCTGCCCAGCTGCTCCTGCCACCAGCTGCTGCTCCTGTTATCCCCGCCCACCTTCACCTTACTTTCATCCTGGATCAGCACAGTATGGGGACAGGCCATGGCACTACAGAGTCACAGGGCAACAGAGCACTTTCATGCTCTTTCATGCTCCTTCCTTCCTTCCTTCCTCCCTCCCTCCCTCCCTCCCTCCCTCCCTTCCTTCCTTCCTTCCTGCCTTCCTGTGGCTCCTGCATTTATTCACTCAACAAATGTTCATCCAATGCCCACCCCGCCGGGCCCTGCTGCCCTGGGACCACAGCGGTGAGTCAGGCCACAGAGCGGGAATGACAAGGCCTCCCAGGCTGAACGGAGCCACTCGCCTGCATCACGCACTGTCCACCATACACCATGCTTCCTTGTCAGTGTCTTCTTTTTCTTAAAACCGGCTGACAAATTTTATAAGCAGGAGTTGTCACATAAAATTCCCATTTCCTGGGCCTTCGGTGGGTCCAGCAACACCCATTCCCTCTTCCCAGGAGGCCACCGTGGCCTGAGGCTGTGGACCAGCTGTCCTTCTTTAGGAAGGTTCCCACTCACCACAGTCTCCACCCCGCCCTAGTGTCAGTTGCCGCAGCCGCCCTACAGGTGGTGCTGTTGGTGTTCTCAGGCCCAGCCAGCCTCACCAGCTTCCTCTGGGTGCCTTGTCCCTGCAAGCTGTCAGAGAGCCAAGGTGGAGAGGGAAACGTGCTTCAATAAGACAGCAGAGGGCGCTGTGGGCACACAGAGGAGAGACACCCAGGTATCTGCTGCGATTGCCAGAAGCAAGATTTCCTGACAGCCTGAGGAGGAAAGGTTCCTGGCTGGGCTTCCTCCATCGGCTCAAAGGAGAGGGCCAGCCCCATGAGAGAAAAGCCCTGAAATGCCCATAGACGCACTCCTGGGCCAGACTGGCACGGTTCACTCCTTCACAGATGATTAACACATTCATTCAAGCATGCACTCAGCAAACACTGATTAAATACAAGCTCCTTGCCATGCCCCAACCTTAGCTCTGGGGAGTTGAATGTGATTAGGAGTTCAGGGTGTAAGATTATGCCTCCCCCACATATTGGGACTCACTCACCAAGTCCCCCAGCATCTGGCATTAGTATCTGGTGCTCAACAGATGCTTGTATGAATGAATGAAGCGATAATGAATAATAATACCTCTAAGGACCGAGTTCTCTCAGCTTTACTTGTCCTGTTTCAATTCTCAAGGGAAGTCCTGTAGGTGCCTTTTCTTTTTTTTTTCTCTTTTTTTAAAATATATTTTATTGATTTTGTATAGAGAGGAAGGGAGAGAGATAGAGAGTTAGAAACATCGATGAGAGTCATCGATCAGCTGCCTCTTGCACACCCCCTACTGGGGATATGCCCGCAATCAAGGTACATGCCCTTGACCGGAATCGAACCCGGGACCTTTCAGTCCCCAAGCCGACGCTCTATCCATTGAGCCAAACCGGTTTCGGCAGGTGCCTTTTCTTTACTGATAAGGAAAAGGAAGCACAGAGAGGCTAAGTGAATTGCCTAATGACACATAGCCGGTCTGAGCCCTAAACAACTATTCCTTGTGCCCAGTGCAAGACAGAACATGCTCAGGGCCAAGGGGGCCCGCACATGGGCGGCCTCCGGCTTTCAGAGGGCAGTGCGGCCAGGAGGGGCCTGGTGGTGGGGGCAGGCTTCAGGAGAACCCCACAAAGTGACTCCTGGAGGGGGCCAGGGGAGCGTACCTTCCCCGGTGAAAGGGGAGATGCTGGAAGGTCCTTCCAGTGGGTTCTCCAGACACACTTCCTGGGGCGAGGGGTAGGGGGTGCCAGTAAGGACAGGACCCTTCAGCAAAGGTGAGGTCTCCCTGCACCGAGCCCTGGAGGACATGGACGTGAATGGGGATCCGCCTGAGGATCTACAGGCAGTGACTGGACAAGGGCAGAATTCACAAATACCTTCACTCCGGGAAAGGGAGTGCAGAGAGCCAGGACTGGGATGGGAGCGATGGACCCAGCAAAGAGACTGTTTCCCGTTGGGAGGAACAGAGCTGCTTCCTGGACCATTGGACAGAGCCGTGCAGGGTGGGCAGGACTGAAAACGGACGTCAACCATGTCCAGTGTCCTAGCTACCTGTCACCACCCAGCCAAAGAGCAGAGACAGTGGCTGGAGTGCAGGTGCACATTTAATAATTTCAGGTGCCAGATATCAGGGAAGGTGGCTGGTAAAAACCCTAACACCCACCTTCCCAGTAAGCCTGTTAGGAGAAAGCTTATATAGGGGGATTGGGGGGGGGGGTGGGGGACGTGGTCAGGAGGGAGTCCAGGGCGTTCTGGTGATTTGCAGTCTTGGAATCTGAGTCCCCTTGGGGTCTCGGGTCTTGCTGAATGTCTTCATGATGGTCCCAGATCAGCATGGTCAGTGTTCTGTAACAGGCAAGTGGTGATCAGGAGTGGGTCACCCTGTGTTTCTTTTTGTGTGTGTGTGTTTTAAAATATATTTTTATTGACTTCAGAGAGGAAGGGAGAGGGGAGAGGTAGAAACATCCATGATGAGAGAGAATCATCGATCAACTGCCTCCTGCACGGCCCCTCCTTGGGATTGAGCCCACAACCCAGGCATGTGCCCCTGAGCGGAATCGCACTGGTGATCTCCTGGTTCTTAGATCAACACTCAACCACTGGACCGCATCAGCTGGGCTACACAGGTGTTTCTGAGACCTAACTGATCCGCTCCACATGTCTGGGGGCCAGGTGTGTCAATTCAGGGCTGGGTTAAAAGTCTGCTTTCGTCTGGTCCACTGACCATGGTAACAGAATCTTCACCAGAACATAAGGCGAAGCCTAGGCAGTTGGTGAATCAATTACACGGTGTGTTAGTAAAAGCGTGGGAAAGAGAGAGGACGAGAAGAGGAGGGGGAAATAATCATGTTCAACCTATCTTTGTACCCCTATCAGGACATCACGGGGGAAGAGCACCTGGGGTGAGAGCACCAAAGACAAGGCCTGGGGGTGCTCATGGACTCATAGGCCCCAGGGAGCGGGCAGGAGCAGCAGGTGACCAGGCCAGGCAGGGCCATTCCTCCCTGGGAGATGGGGAGCTACGGGGTGGGGGTTGGGGGAGAGGTTTGCAGTTTTGCAGCTGGAGGGTAGGCTTGCGCAAGAGGCTACATCAAAACTCTTGAGGGTGTGGCTCTCACAATGGGAGCCGGATTTAGAAGAACAAGGCTGACAGCCTACACCCCCGGAGGAGCTGTCACTTAGACTGCAAGAGGGAGGTGTAATCCGATTACCCGATTACCCTGTAGCCCCGGAACCTGGATGTCTGAGCCCCATTCCTGCTATGTCACCAGCCAGCTATGTGGCCTTGCTCTGACACTCTCGGGGTGTAGGTTTCTTCATTTGCATTATCAAGAGGTGGACCCCCGAACCCAACTTCACCCCCTACCCTTCTGACCCCTGTGAATCTAAGACCCCTCACCCTTGGGAAGAGCACACATCACACCCCCAAGAGGGGAAAGCTCAGCCATCCTTGTTGGGCTGCCCACTGGCGGGTGGGGGGGGGCAGAGTGGGTCCGTCCCCACCCATGGGTCCTCAGCCCACCATCAGCCCCCGGCTAGCAGGTGGGAAGGTGCTCCCTCCACAAGGGGGGTTGGGGGTCAGAGGGAAGGAGGGGTGCCAGAGGGACAGGCAGCTTGCTCAGGGAAGGGAGGGGTGGGGTGAAGGGGGAAGTGAACTCACCAAGCAACTTCCTCCCCAACCAGCTCCAGGCACAGGTCTGGGGAATTCACGAAAAATACAGAAGGATCTGTGTGAACATTTCCTGTTCCACCCTAGTCCCCCTTCCTGGCAGCCCGGCTCGGGGTTACCACACCGCTCACCTGTGGAGCAATCTTCCCACTAGAGGGCTGAGTGGCCTGGCCAGGAGGGGCCTATAAATGCTGGGCCCGCAGGACGCTGTCAAACCCTTCTGTGCGACTCTTCAGCTTAGGTAAGCGAGCTGCCAGCTCCCCTGGGCAGCAGCCTGCCTACCTGCCTGCCTACCTGCCTGCCGGGTCTTTCTTTACACTTGCTACCCATCTGCCTTTCCAGCCCTCCTCCGGGAAGCCCTCCCTGATTAACCTGCTCACTTTAAAGCTTCCTTCCCATTCTGTTGGAGCCTCCTGCTCTCAAATGCCCTGCTTTTTTACATTCTCCAGGTATTTTTTACATTTTCCAGATAGTTTTACAAAGGTATTTCTCCCATGTCTGGGTCAGGGTCCTTTCCCACTTCAATGCCTCCTTCTTTTCCTTCTGTGTCTCCTCTCCTTCCTCTCCCCCCCCCCCTCCCATTTCTGCAAGCAGCCAGCAGGAGGTATCTAGGAAGCCTTTCTCTTCTAAGCACACCCGACCCCTTGCTTCTCCTCAGCTCCGAGGACAGGAAGACGAGGACAAAATGTCTCTGCTGGAATGCAGCGTGAACACCATCATCGACATCTTCCACCAGTACTCGGTTCGCCTGGGCCACCCGGACCGCCTGAACCAGAGAGAGTTCAGCCAGCTGGTGAAGAAGGAGCTGCCTAACTTCCTCAAGGTAGGGCTGGGCTCTGGGCCACCATGTGCCCAGAGAAAGTGAGAGGGACGCTGGCCAGAGTTGGGCTGGGCGAGGGAGAGGCGACTACTAGTCAGGTGGACAAGAAAGGGGGCATTGGTGCTGAGACGTGCACGTGTGAGCGGAGAGGCCAAGGCGGCAGAGGCGGAGGAGGAGGAGGAGGAGGAGGAGGAGGAGGAGGAAGAGGAGGAGGAGCAGCCTTGGCAGAAGCCAGGAGGCTGAGCTCAGATGGAGGCCCGAGGGTGCTCTTCGGATCCGGATCTCCCACACCCAGGGCGTGTGCAAAGCCCCGCCCGGCACAGCCCGTGCACACACAGCACCTGGGGCGTGTGAGGTACTTACTGATCTCAGGGGGATCAGGAGTCCTCAGGGAAAGGAGGCTTGGTTCCCGCAGGCCTGTTCTGTTTTCTTTACACGTTTGGGGACTTCGGGGAGCAGAGGCCTGGACGAGGAAGGGTGGCGGCCCTGGGTACCAGCCTCAGGTCCACTCCTGCAGCGATGTCCTGGGGCAGGTGGCCAGCCCACCCTGGAGCCACCCCACCTGGTGGGTGGAGGGCTGCCACAGTAGATGTTAGGGATGCTGACAGCTCCCTATAGGGCGCACCTCAGCAAGCAGGACGCTGGGCCAAAGGTAGTGCTGGTGTGGCTTCTTCTTCTGAGTGAGGCCTGTGCCTACCCCTTCCCCACCCCCTGTGCTGGAGGCAGTGACAGGCCAGGAGGGGCAGCTGGGACCTTACCAATGGGCCCCTTAGGAGGGTCTGGATTTCCCCAGGGCGGTGGCAAACGTACAGAAAGAATAGACCGTGCAGGTTCCAGAGGGGCCTTAGCTGCCATGCCCCAGCCAGCCGAGTGGCATAGCTGGGACTCTCCAGAGCTCACTCTGCCCGGGACCCACCCCTTCCCTGGCCCTCCTCTGCACACCTTCCCCTTGGGTCCACGGAGCACCCACACTGCTCCCTGAACCTCCACAAGGGCCTGATCATCTTGTTTTCCTCTGGTGCTTCCTGCTACACAGGTTGAAATGAGTGTCACTCATTTGTAACCGGGAGAGGGAAGGAGAGGGAAGGCAGGGAGGGCCGGGCGGAGGGGCCAGGCATGCAGGGAAGGGGACAAGACGGGCTCTGAGTCAGCCCCAGGCGGTGAGCGGGATAACTGGAAAGTGAACGGCGTTTTTAGTTTGGGGTTGAGGCCCAGAAGCCAGGTGTCCCAGTGCCTTGGCCATCGGGTCTTGGGCTGTGCTCCCCCCCGAGCTCTGACCACCCTGTCTCCCAACCTGCAGAAGGAGAAGAAGAACGAAAACCTCATCAAGGACATCTTGGAGGACCTGGACACAAACGGAGACAAGGACCTGAGCTTCGAGGAGTTCATCACCCTGGTGGGCACGCTGACAGAGGCCTCCCACGAGGAGATGCACAAGAACACCCCCAAAGGGCACGGCCACACCCACGGGCCAGGCTTCGGGGAGTCTGGCCGCAACCCCTGCAAAACCCAGGGTGGCAACCAGAGTGGCGGCGGCAGCCACGGCCACGGCCACGGCCACAGCCACGGTGGCCACGGCCACAGCCACTAACCTGGAGGCAGGCCACCCTGTCCCTCCCTCCCAACCAGGGCCCCAGGCAGTGTGCGCACAGCTGAGGCGGGGCCTGAGCTGCAAGGCTGGGGGTTAAGATGAATAAAGAGTTCCTGCAAGCCAGTGCTCCGTGTGCTCCTTCCACCCCCTCCACAGCCTGTCCTTCCCCGGGCTCTGGCTCAGGCCCCACGCCCCTTCCCGAGGTGGAGTCCCTTCATTCAGCCCCTTCGCTCCCAATAATAAGAGGATACGCCTCAAGAACACGGTCCTGTTCTGAGTCCCTGGCGCTCGCTTCCCTGACCATTTTCTTGCCTCTGACCTCAGGCCCTGCTGTCAGGGCCCGGTTACCCCAGCCCAGCTCAGGACTTTCCTGTGCACCCTGTCAAACTGTCCCTGACCACCACACCACCCAGCCAGCCACAGCCCCTTCACCATGCTGCCCACACTGCCGTCTCTCTTCTGCTGGGACCTGGGGCCTCCAGGAGCTCAGAAGGGCCAGGCTGGGCGTGTCTGTCCACAAATGAAGTTCTGAGTCCACGGGAGCAGTTGGTGTCTCTTGAATGGGGGGGTGGGGGGGGGGGAGTTGTCTTCTCTTCCTCATGGACACTGGGGCAGGTGTGCATGTGGATAAAAGCCGGGGAGCCCAGCCCATGCCCAGCAGCCCCCTGAGGAGGTTGGACTCTGGGTCCAGCGAACCTGATGGGCCTGAAGATTCTGATTCCAAGCCCAAGCGCAAACTGACCCCCCCCACCCCCACCCCCCAAGGCGGGCAGGTTCCTGCAGCCCCAGGTCAGCAGGGCACTTCTCTGCAAAACCTGCAGTCGGGCCTGGCTCCCCGCTTCCGCCCTCCGCAGCCTCCAGACCCACCCACTCACTTCAGACCCTCCTCTGCCACCCTCCCTGCCCGGTGGCCTGAGAGCAACAGTCTGAGTCCCTTCCCAGTTCATCTCCAGGCTGGGGGCACCTTCCTGAGACCACAGCCCAGACCACGGTGTCTGCCCCGCCCTGCCCTCCCACAGAGAAAAGACGGACAGCATTGGGGTTGGGGAGAAAGACTGACAGGCATCCATCCCTGTGTTACCGTGAAGAAAGCGAGGTGCAGCGTGGGGAGGGACCAGGCCCAAGCCCTGCATGGTGGAGCTGGCCGAGGCGGTGCAGGGGGGAGAGGGCCCGCCACCACCTTCTCCCCGGGCTCATCTCCCAGCGCGTCCCCAGGCTGAGCGTGAAGGAAGGAGCCACTGGTCGGATGGCAGATGGCAGCTCTCCCCTCTGCCAGGCCAACCCTGCTCTGGGCTCAGGGGCTTCTGCCATGGGTACAGACCTCAGGGCTCCTGCTGCGGGGCAGAGGGTGTTTCCAGCCCTTCTCAGGGAACAGGATGGACAAAGGAGGGTCGGACTGAATGCACAGGTGGAAGATTTCTGGGTGTCCTCCTGGGTTCAAACCGGAAGGGAGGGGCCGCGGGGCGCCCCCTCCTGCTGAGTCCTGTCACACCAGCCTCCATGGGGGGGGGGGGGTGTGACCACTGGAAGGTCTGTTTGAAGAAAGGGATTTGTCTGGAGAAGAAGTTGGCACATGGTTGATGTAAGCTGGCCTGCCCCACCCCACACCGGAGTGATTCTCCACCACATCCCTGCCAAGTGGCTGGCAGGGCCTGCCCTCGCCGCCCCAGGGGAGGGAGTTCCCTTTTGGCACCGCTGCTGAGAGAGTCAGTCCTTGCACTGAGCCTGAACCTGTCTCGCGTGCCCGCTGGGCATGAACGCCGCTTTCCTCCCGGTCCACGGGGGCCCAGAAAAGCCCTCACCCTTCCGTCCACGCAGCTGCCCGTCCACAGTCCATGTCTTCAAAACACTTCCCTTCTTCTTCTTCTTTTCTTTTTTTAAAATATATTTTATTGAATTTTTTTTTTTTTACAGAGAAGAAGGGAGAGGGATAGAGAGCTAGTAGAAACATCGATGAGAGAGAAACATCAACCAGCTGCCCCCTGCACACCCCCCACTGGGGATATGCCCGCAACCAAGGTACATGCCCTTGACTGGAATCGAACCTGGGACCTTTCAGTCCGCAGATGGACGCTCTATCCACTGAGCCAAACCAGTTTTGGCCAAAACACTTCCCTTCCTGGCACCCGGCTTTCTCTGGCCGCCGCCCCTTTGCACCAGGACTGCCCTCCCCTCCCTGGGGTCTCTGCGTCACTGTCTCCATGACAACCTCCCTGACCAGCCCCCTTCCTCGAGCACATAGAAGCTCCCTGGGCCAGGCCCATGGAACTCGCTGGTACTTCTACCCTCACACTTCCAATATGGACTTGGAGCCCCTTCTCAGCGAGTCTGACAGGGCCCCGGAGGAGGCAAGGACTATGGCTGGTTAGCGGCATATCCCAGGTGCCAGCAGGGAGCAAGCTGCCGTGAGCCTTACTGAGTGAAGCGGGGTGGTCCGAGGCCTGATGGAGCTGGAGGGTGAGGTGGGGGCAGCTTTGGGCATCAGGGGCACGCTCACGTGGGCCCTAACGGCTGGGAGAGGGTGGAACAGCAGGATGGCGGGGGTCAGAGCTTCTAGAAGCCGAGTCCTCCCTTTGTCTCATTTCTCTGTCAGCTCATTCTGAGAGTAGGAGATTCTCCCAGGGGAAGGCCTGGCAGCAAGAGATTTACTAAGCCCTGCAGGGTTTTCTTAAGCGAGTTTAAGAGAGCTGGTCACGGTGGGTTAGCCCCTTCCATCCCATGAGCCCCTCTCAGTCCAGGAAAGCTGGTGTGTGGAAGAGAGGAGAGCGGGCCTCTTGCCTGAGATAGGAGGGAAACAAGAGTGTCAGGGTCAAGGTTAAGGTTCCGCCCCAGGTGAGAACGGAGGGGGGGGGGGGAGCTATCCCTGGGGCTTTGAGAATGCATCCTTTGGGAAAATAAGAACTTTGGGGTCTCCCTGGCATCCAGGAACAGAGAACCTGCCATCGGAGGGCCCTGCTTCCCTGTGCTATGGAACCTGAACTTCTGGATGGCTTTTGGGAGGGATGAGGAAGCAACCGCGGAGGCCTAAGCTGCCGGATTCTGCCCAGACGCTCCGGGATCTGGGCGACACTCCCGGAACGAGGGGACAGATGACTGAGCGCATCACTCACTGGTTGGCCCACTGATTCACTCACTCAGCAGGCAGTGTATCTGTCAGGCGCTGTAATGGTCAGGGGGGCCCCAGGGGGGAATAAGGCTGCGTGCTGTGGACAGGGGACTCCCAGGCCTGTGATAAGTCTGACCCAGAGGAAAGACCAGAGAGGCGAGAGGTTCCCTAAGACTTTGAGGCGAGAAGGCTGTCCTTCATCTGGGCTGTAGAGGTAGCTTCAAGCGTGGGGGGCAGCAGGCGTCCCCCCCAAACCATGCAGGTGCTTGCGACAGAGGAGAACATGTGTGCCTGGGCCTGAAGGTGGGCAGAGGGGGGGTCTGGGCAGGAATGAGGAGCCTCAGGTTTGAGAGGAAGAGGAAAGTGGACAGGTGCTAGGCCACAACAGGAGGAGGGCAGGAGCAGTGTGTGTGTGTGTGTGTGTGTGTGTGTGTGTAGCGGGGAGGGGGGTGGTTAGGGAGGGAATGGGAGTTTAGAAGAGTCTCCTTGTGGGTGTGGATTAGGGGTGGGAATGAGACCAACGGCACAAAGCCCAGGAGCGGGCTGCACCAGGGGGCACTTCTCAGAGAAGATGGATCCAGCCGGGATCTCCGGTACCCCAGGCCCCCATTCCAACAAGGGTCCATGCCCCACCACCCCCTAAGGAGGATAAAGAAGATCATTTTGTGCTGTTTCCCAAGACTGTGCCTCAGCTTTCGCCAGCTGCTGAGGCAATCTTACCCAACCCTGACTCTGACACAAACCCAAGAAGCAACCTCAGGGTCCGGCCCTGCCTCCCAGCAGTTGCTGAAAACGCACACTTTAGAAAGCCCATGTCATGGATTTTGACATGCCCATGGCCACAGGACAGCAGGACTGACACAACTGGTTGCTCAAGTTCTGTTGCCTCTTGGTGTTCAGGCCTGAAACAATCCATCACCCCAAGTCTTCCGTCATATCCCTGGTCAGATTGGACCCCAGTCTCCCTCTCCCCCCTCTCCTCCACCCCCCCCCCCCCCGCCCTCAAAGTATCACAGAGGAGGGATGTTTGATATAATTGACAACTGGAGGACTCATTCTGGCTCTGTGAGGAGGAGGGATGGGGGTCACTCTGAGGGCCGCTGTGGGACTAACTGAGCCTTAATTTGCATCCTCAAGGAGCACTCCTCAGTCTCACGGGGCATCAGACACCCAAGTAGATACGTTCAATATTATATCTATGGGAAACCGAAAAGCGAAGGTGGGTGATGAGCAGACACCCTGGGAGGGCAGAGCAGGTGTCTCTGATGCCTTCTGGGCTGGGCTGCAGGCACGGGGGGGGGGGGGGGGGCAGCCCCCCCTGCTCACAGAGGAGGGTGAGGAAACTACTTCCTCTGGTTGATGCCGAGGTGAGATTTGCAAGGGCAGAACTTGAACTTCTGTGTACCCAGAGCTGTTAGGTAATGAGAGAAATCAGAACACAGGAAGGTGGGTGTTTACAGCCTTGTTTGCTTTCTCTCCACGTTTGAAGACGTTTTGTCGGCCACGTTAAATGCTGAGTCTCTGCTGTCCTTGCTCCACCGTAGATCCCACTGAATCCCATTGAATCCCAAGCTCTTCCTGAATTCCCAGGCTCGACACTCAGGTGGGCTCGGCCTGCGGGGTGACAGTGGCCTGCCAGAACCATTTTTCTGAAGGGCAAGGTGGGGTACACTGGTGTCCCCCACTCATACTGACACCCTTGCCCAGAGGATGCTGTCAGACTAACCGTGGTCACAGGAGCCCAGCAGCTTAACAGGCAGGCGAGCCCCGGGGTCCCCAAGCTAAGAACTCCTCTGGGTGGGAGGAGGGAACATGAGGGTGTGTGAGTGGGAGGGCTCCCTGGAGGAGGGGACATTTGGGTGAGGCTTTGTGGACAAGCAGGAGTTCCAGAGCTCAAGAAGGGCCCAGCAGCCTGGCGCTAGCACAGAGCAGACACCTGACAATGTGAGTGAACGGATGGAGGGCACACGGACACAGAGAACAGTAGGACACCAGGGACACATTAGTGA